GTTATTAGCATGCCTGCATGAAAGTTTCTGTTCTCGTTCCACAGTCCCATTTCTCAGGCACTACACATGTTCAGATTTCTGCGAAAAAAAGACAATCAAAGAAATAGCAGCCTGAGCATCCTTTTATACATCCCAGGCTACGCGCTCGATCACGCCATTATAACCAGTTTAGGAAGAGACCTTGTGCTAGCGAGGTGGCACGGTGAACTTCTTTCCATCACAGAAGGCAGGAGAGCAGAGCGTGAGCCGTACCTAGTACGTCAGGGCAGGCTGACACGGGCTGCGTTGGCAGCTGTTTGGGATGAATCCTCCAAAGTGCTTTGCCACCTCCTAACAGAAACCCCAAACCCACCTCCCTAACGCCCTGCTGAAATCCTGTACGCAGGGGATGCGCTATTTCACCTATAGGCCACGAAAACTCATCATTCAATCAGCAGAATTATTAAAAGGTTTGTTCCCTTCAGGACCTGGGCTAAGATGAGAGAAAGGAAGAACTGGGAGGGCCCATTTAACAGGAGCGGGGCTCACTCTGCCGTTGCAGATACTTGGCACCCAGGCTCCCGGCTTCGAGTGGGACGCAGCCCACGTAGCGGCAGCTAGACTGCAGACAAGACTTTCGACGTTTTCTAGCCTGGGTGATCTATTGTCTCGGTTTTAAAAGAAGAAACACCTTGAAATGCTTTGGGGTTTTTTTTTCCAAGGTACTAACTATTCCAAGCAGCATGCCTAGGAGACTTTGTTCTGCTTCTCACACGTTTCCACGCTTCGGGCACGTCGGCCCAAGGGCTGAAAGGAGGCGAGGAAGCCCTGAGGGGTGGCACTCACCCGCGGCAGGGCAAAGCCCAGAGTTTAGATTTTACTCCCACTTGGGTGAGTGCAGGGAAAACCACAGACAAGCAAAGAGAGGGCTGCACAACCTTGTCCTCAGGCGCGGGGCACGGCCGGGCCCGGGACGGTGGCTATTTCAGTCGCGGCTCTGAGGACAGCCTGTCAGGCAGATGCGTTGGCTCGTTCCGAGCTGCAGCCCCACGCCGCGGGAACCGGCCCAATTGCCATAGAGCGGATTAAAAACAATGCACCACAGCACGGCTGGGCTTTCCCCGTCGCTCCCGCCGCC